GGTAAGGGGTAAAACTGGTATGTGGTTTGAATATGGAGTGTGGTTTGAAAACTGGTATGTCAGTGATGTTTTGCAGTTCTGGTCTTTTAAATTCTGAAGTAACAAAAGCATTGCTGTAAGATATTGTGAGGAACTGCTTAAAGTTAGAGCCAGCTAGAATAAGTGGCCTTAAACAGAAACAGTAGTATAACTAAAATGGGGGGTAATCAGGGTAGCAGCCCCAGGTACTAACTTAGATGGAGGGTGCAAAAATAACAACTGCTGCTGCTTTAGACCAGCTGCACCGCCCCTCCGACAGTCTGGCAGCCGGCACTGCCCAGTTAGACCTCTAAACAGAAGTGATTCTGGCTATGAAAATAGTGCCATTTTTGTGTAAGAGATGTTTTAGTTTCCTGGAAAATCAGGTTGTGTATGTACTGAGTCCTGAGGCATCTGAGGCCTTCAATTAAGGATCAGGAGTACTGTGAAATTATAGCATTTTGTATGGCTCATCTCTCTGAATGTTATCCTTCTGCCTTTGAATTGATAACTAGAGTAGCCAGTATTTGATTGTAGGAAGAAGTTAGTTTTGGGTGGGGGAACACAGCTCAAGGGCAGTCCCATGAGAAGCCAGCATTACATTATTAATTCTGATTAATAATGGTTAAAATTATTTTGATAGGGGATGGAAAGTATAAATGAAGTTATGACTTTGCAAACATTGCTTCAGCTGCATTGAACTGCACATATTTTTGGCTTTTTATTTCCAAGCAAAGACTTTTCTCCGATGTGCTGCTGTTTCATTATATACTTTCATCACTTGTGTGGCTCCAATATCATAGAGTGGAAATTGAACATTGCTCCTTTCTCTGTCCTACCAGTAGTACTGCTCATACTTCCTCTGGAGTTTGGGCTGTGCTCTCTGAAGCAGATGCTGCCTGTCTATCTTGAGCTGATCTGCTCAGGAAAGGTAGAGAACTGAGCTGATTTTATTTTTCTATAATGAAAGAGGTAGACTTTTCTCTGTTCCTTTTCTCAGTCCTGTTTGCTGGTGCTGGCAGGTACTGCTGTTTCTTGGTTCTTTTTTTCTAGTTGAAGTGCCACATTGAGGTCTGTGAGGAAGTGTCGCAGGCAATATGACTGTTTAGTCTGTAAGCTCTCCAAGGGCAAAGGATACCTGTTACTAACATTTGAATAGTACTTAGTGCTGCGGAGCCTCAGTCTTGGGCAGGAGCCCTTATGTTGCTGAAATGCATGTATTTAGTTTGAGCAAAGAGAGTGAAAATCAACAGCTTCATGTTGATTGTGGAGTACTTCCTCATTCTTCTTGTTCCCAAATGTTTCCAGCAGTACTGGGAAAGACTCTTCAGGGTGTGCTTTGCTTTTAAATTTAATTTTCAGCACATCAAATTCAAGTTTCATTGACACAGATATTTGTTGGCATTCAAAGAGTTCTCAGTTCAAAACTTTAGTCTGGGTTGACATTTCAGACTTCCTTCTTTTACATTTAGGGCCATGTAGGTGAGAAGAAATTCAGTGCTCTTCAGAGCAGTAGCTGGAGCCAAGTACAGGTTTCCCTCGCTTTATGCAGGTTCTGTATGTGCGAATTCGCTCTTATGCGATGACTGTTTTTATACCAAAAATTTGTTATATGCGAGGTAAATTCACTCTTTTATGTGATCAGTGTGGTGGAAGGCTGCAGTCAGCTGCGGTGCATTGTGAGAGTGTCGCACACCAAAATATAATCTCCTGTGTGGATCTGTGCTCCTCGCT